GTTCTCACAGCAGCCAACCTATTGTACAAGGAAGCCCACAGTCTCCCAGAAAAATTTGGGAGTCTTCGTGGACTCACTGCTCCTGCTTGGAGAGCAGATGGCAGCCATGCCTGGTGGGGAGGGCTTTGCACAGATTCATCTGGTGCACCAATTTCCTGGACCGGATGGCCTTGCTCATGGTTACCCATGCCTTGGTCACCTCCCATTTGTATTACTGCAGTGTGTTCTACCTGGGGCTGCTCTTGAAGACTTCCCAGAAAGTTCAACTGGACCACAACACAGTAATGGTGGGCAGAAGCTAGGTTTGCCCATGTTAACATCTCTGTTGTGTGAGATGCACTTACTTCCAGTATTTTTCTGGGTACAATTCAAAGTGCTGTTCATCACCTTCAAAGCTCTACGTGAGACTATCTATGTGACAGCCTTTCCCTAAAGACATCTACTTTTCCTACTATGTCAGATAGGGTGGGCACCCTCCTGGTTTTGTCATCTAAGGGGAGCTAGGAAGCATGCCTTTTCCACGGCAGTTCCTGCCCTACGGAACATTTTGCCCGCTGAAGTTCAGCAGATCTCCATCCTTTTACCCTTCTGTAAAGCTTTAAAGATCTGCTTTTTTTCTCCCAAGCATTGGGAGATTAGATGATGATATATTTGCATGGATTGACATCAGCTTTTTCTTTTTATTGTTTTTATTATTTTATGTTTCGAATGTTTTTTACAGTTTTCAAAATAATTTTATTGGGAGCCACCCAAGGTTGCCTGAAAGATGGGCAGATATATAAGTGTGTGTGTGTGTGTGTGTGTGTGTGTGTGTGTGTAATATTTACAGTAGTCATTTTGATGATCAATTCAATCCAAGGGGGAGCAATACTTTGATTCAGCACTTCGTTGGAAAAGAGTGCTTCACCTGAAGATATGCTACATCAATGCATCCTGCCAAAGTTTCATGCAGCCCTAATGCACAATATATTTCCACTGGATTCTACTCACCAGCACCCAATAACTGTGTGTACACAGTTTCATGAAAGATAATGACTCCAGGACCCAAAGTGGACAATGGAACATCCAGTCCACAACGGGCTGTGGTTGCTTTCAGTTCTTTGGTGAAGTGTTTTAGGTATGCTTCCGAAGCATCTCCAAGAAATTTGAAGAGATCATTGTGGAGCCTGTCAGCATGTGTGCGGTAGATGATGAGATCTGAAATAGCCAAGACCTTCAGAAGCAGCCGGGTCCTCTGACTTAGATTCTCCATGGCACCAAGAAGACCCTCTGTGTCAATCACTACCATTTTATGAACAGGGTCATAGGCAGCCCAAACACCTACTGTACAAGACTCCTGTGCTGGAGACGTTTTAAAGACTTCACGGCCATAAAAGAAGGTGTGGTTAAGGGTATGAGATTTCCCATCCCCTGTGTTCCCAAAAATAGACACCACCTTTACGTGTTGGTCAGCCTTGCAGTTCAGTTTCCTGATAAATTCTTCTTCATTCTCCACCTTCCAACACAAGGGGAAAAAATTAAGGTTTTATGAGAACATTAAAGCTGCTGAACTCTGCTACTACATAAACCTAACATGTAATCAAGCTGCCAACTACCACGTTAAATCTGCAATGCTCAGAGTGGATCAGACTTGTATCAAAGGGACCCCCATATTTTAATAACCTCTTCCAAGAATGCTACTATTTATATATCTTTATACTATCAGTCCCCAAATAGATGGGGATATCTATCAATTTCAAAAGGCTAAGCCAACTGAATTTGGTGTGCCATTCTAATCCTAAAAGGACTTTAAAAACCTTATCGCCCAGTGATGGCGAGCCTTTTAGAGACCGAGTGCCCAAACTGCAACCCAAAACCCACTTATTTATCGCAAAGTGCCAGGGCTGCATCAGCATTGTGGTGCCCTCAGGGGCTGTGGGTGGGCGTGGACCACTGGGTGGGCGTGGCTGCAGTGGTCACAGCAGACTGGGTGAGGGTGCCTGGGGCCAGTCCCTCGCCATCTCTGGGGCATCCCCAATGCAGCTTGGTCGCTTACTTCCTGCCCTGTCGCTTCCAAACGCCACATGCTAGCTACTCTGGCGAACTCTGCTGGGGCAATGGTGCGCGTGCTCACATAGAGGGCTCTGAGTGCCTCTTCTGGCACGCGTGCCATAGGTTCGCCACCACTGTTATAGCCTCTCTTAGAATAGGATTATAAATAGTCAAAGCAACATGACAATGATTAAATTACAAATACAAAAACCTTGGCATTCAAAACAAAACACACAAAACATCTATAAAAGAGTGGTTCACATCTCATAATAACTCTACAATACTTAGTATATCAGCCTAGGACTGGAGAGAATTAGGTCCAATGTGCAAACGTAACACCTACTCAACCAGATTAAATTTATATTGTTGTTATCAGGATAAAACTAGGAAAGAAATGAATGGAAAAATTGATACATCTTGAAAAGAAAATTCATTTTTGTTCAACAAATAATGTTGTTTTTTAAATGGGTATTTCTTTTTCTTATGCCTTCAAATCAGTATTGACTCCTAGAACAGGGGTCCCCAACCCCCGGTCGGTGGACCGGTACCGGGCTGCAGCATGACAGCAACCGGTCTGCACAAACAAGCAAAAACCCATCCATGGGATGCAGGTGGCATACAAAACCAGCCCCCTCCGGTCCACAGAAAAACCTCTCTCCAAGTAACCGGTCCCTGATGCCCAAAAGGTTGGGGACCTCTGTTCTAGAGAGTACCTGGAAGTTTCCCTGCAAATTTGTTGGCAATTTTTTTTCAGAAGTGGTTTGCCATTGCCTTCTTCCTAGGACTGAGAGAGAGTGAACGGCTGGCTTGTGCCTAAGGCTGGACTACAAGTCATAGTCTCCCAGTTTCTAGCTTAGTGCCTTAACTACTAGACCAGGGGTCCTCAACCTCAGCCATTTTAAGACTTGTGGACTTCAATTCCCAGAATTCCTCAGCCAGCAAAGCTGGCTGAGGAATTCTGGGAGTTGAAGTCCACAAGTCTTAAAGTGGCCACGGTTGAGGACCCCTGTACTAAACCAAACTGGCTCTTAGGATCTATCATTTTCTCTTATGATATTTTCCAATTGTGTCAGCCAGCACTTAAATAATAGGATCTTGGATTACCAAATTTAACTATGAAATTTATTTCTGGGAGAACAAAAAGTGGGTATTTGTTCAACTCTTATTAAAGGATACCTTTAAATTAAATAGACATATAAAGGATCAATTTTAATCCTTGCCTCAAACCCTTAAATTTATATTTTTCATCATATTCATTTCTAAGCAAAATTTGCAATGTACAGAAAAGGGATCCTAGGTCTACATGTGGAATGAAATGAAGTAAAGTCCTACAGAGATAGAATTACATTTATAACTTCATACTGTGTGTGACAGAGCCAATTTTAGTGTTCCTTCATATGAAACGCTTATTAAAAGTAAAAAATGTTGTGCCAGAACAACCTTTCATGCAAACAGATACATCAAATTTTGTGAATACTAGCACAAAATGGCTGCAGGCAGGGCTTAATTATTCCTCAAATGGCAGCCATGGAAAGTGTGGCTAGTCAGAAAAGTCAGACAGAGAATGGACCATTTCAATTTATAGCTGCTTAAGAAGCTGCAGATAGGCACAGTCTCATTATACTCTGAAGCACTATTTTCCCTTGAACCTGAAATACCGTACAGCCCAATCAGAAATAAAGGGAGGAAAAAACAAGCAAACAAATTAATCATGTTTTCTTAATTTAGGATCTTTTTCTAACTTAATCTTTTTTATGTATTGTTTAAATATTTTATAAAGGCGTTAACAATAGTAAAGTTAAAGTTGCATATTTGCTAAATGCTTACATGGTATTGTCTTATTTTGTTCATCATCTCAGTTCAACAAATTGCTACTATAGGTGGGAGATGAATAATATGATTAAGGATAATTATTTGCCATGATCTTCACTTGTTCAGAAAACAGCAATAATGTCTAGTTAGATTTACATTTTCCCCAATCTGGTACCCTATAGATGTGTTGAAATTATAGTCAATTGGCCATGATGATCAATTAAATTACAATTAATTGGTTGTGGTGCTTGTTACCATCTTTTTAAGGAAGGCTACAAATTAAAGGGAGAAAAAAAATTATTGTTCTTATTAAAGATATTGGTCAAAGGTTTAAACTGGGCATCCAATAAATAGCAGCTTATGCCACTGAAAACTTTCATGATGACTCATTCAATCTGTACTCATTGGGTACAAATGATTACACAGTACAGTTTTGCAAAAGTTGCTTATGGACTTTGGAATTAAAATGCTAGTTTCCCAGAAGTCAGGCCCAAGGTTTTTCTCCATAATCTCAAAAGAGTAACAGCAATATAAATAGCGATGCCTCTGCCTCCTACAGTATCAGAAGAAATCAACTGCTTGGTTCCTATATACAATTTATCCTGATTTTTTATGTATATGGAAACACTGCAGAAAAGCTCTGTTAAGGCAAATGGGATAGGAACCCATGAAAAAAATCATTTGGGTAAGTGTCCAAACATTAACATAATTGATAAATTGTGCTAAACTATAATTTGACTTCTTTAATTTTGGTTTAGCACATTGACAGGGTACTCATATTAGATTATTAAGAAATGGTTGGCCTATCCACAGTTTACTGAATAAGCCACAATTGTCTAGATAGACATGTTGTACTAAGCCATAAATTATAAATCATACTACTTAAATTTTCATCAAGCTATGCTAAAACCAAATCAACTCTATTATGATTTAGTGTGATGCTTGCAGACAGTAGGATAATGGTATAAACTACTTATCACAGGGATGGGCAACAAATTTTCCCAAGGGACCAAATGAGAAACTGAGACTGTTGTGGAGGATCAAACCAATAGGGCTGTGAAAGTGCGTGAGCAGGCAGGCACGCGTGCACATAAATTGGAAAAAAATAGCAGTCACCTTTGAAATAAAAGCAATCCACGCAGGCCAGACAGGGACTGCCAAAGGGCCGGATGTGACCCAGCGGCCATCAAATGCCCAGATCTAACTTATCATGTGTCTTGTCAAATCATAAGGAGAGCATCACTTGAATATGAACTGATACGAATATGAAGGGAAACCCTTAGAGTGATAACTGAGTTTATTTTTTCCAAAATAGCACCATCCTGAACCAAATAAGACATTCTTATTGATCTCTATTCATTTTCAAAGCTTAAAACAATTCTTACCTGAATCTCCTCTGTTTCATCCACCAGCAGGAAGCTTATCACATGTTCTGTCATCTTCTTCCTCTTGGTCTCCTCATCCATTCCTTCCTCCTCTTGCTGCTCATGATGTCTGCCACTATGGTATACGGTAATGGGATGTTTCCTCTTATTTCCCCCAGCATGAGTTCTCTTCTGACACTCTAAACATAAGTTTATTTTGCACGCTTGGCACCTTACGGTTGCCCTTTGTCTAGAGCTTATGATATTGTTCTGCAGGATGCTGCCACTTGTGACTTTGCAGCTGTCACAGTAGGGGACATGGCCAGGTTTGATTCGAGTCCGTTCGTGATTTCGAAGTCTTTCTTGTCTATGCAGTTCTTCTTCGCAACGCTGACACTGCAAGCTTCCACATTCGTCACATTCAAAGACTGCTTCATCTGTGCCACTGCAAGCATAGCTTTCCTGACACAAAAGTGTGGTATTCAGTCCTTTATCTACAGATGGAGGTTGGGCACTCATCTTCCACAAATTATTACTTTATAAAACTGGGTCTTTTTATCAGATACATACATTGGTTTGCCAAAGGACTAAAATTAGTACTTATCTTAAGAGAGAGGAAACTATAAAAGTTGGGATATATGTATCAGTTTTGATTCTTCACCTCTATGATGCTTTCATGAAAGGCATAAAAAAAGTCCCACTTGGCTTAAGAATTGTAAACACAAGTTTCCATAATGACTGAGGGGGCTGTAAAATTCCACACTTAAAGTCACAATAAACTTGGATACATGTAAGAAAAACAATCTGTCTCCAAAATGTAAGCTAAGTTTTTTCTTCGCAATGTCTAAAACATAAGGGAAAATATTGATTTAATGTATACATATAAAAACATACACATAAACATAAGTGCAATAATATTAAAAAGCCTGTTACTTTCTTTACATGATTTATTTCTCCTTCAAAATGAAAAACACTTATGGATATAGTTTAAAACTTTTGCATAACAAAAGATATCTCTGATTAAATTAGTCCTATACAAAATCTCCACTCGAGCTTCAAATGTGATTAAAAACAACCTGGGGATTCTTATAACAGATTGGCAAGGACGATTTTATCAAACAAGTGTAGGACTTAACACCATTCAACTGAGAGGCCCATGTAGGTTGTTTTAAACAAGTCACTTTCCATTCAAACTGTGTGGCACCTAATCTTAAGTAAAAGTGCCTTGGACTGTACTCTTCCAAGCAAAGATAGCATCTTTCATAAACACACACCAAGTAAACCACATCAAAGTTGGCCATATTGTTAAGCCCTACAAACAAACAATATGTCCTATAGTGATGAATTAGTTACTTAAAGTAAAGCATTAAAAATTAACTTTAAACTGCTTTTAAACAGGCCAAGAAAGCGGGGAGGGGGAGGGGAAAAGAATGGTTACAAAAACACATCAGTTCAGTGTTTACTTGTGACTCACTCGCTACCACGAGAAGATCTTGACTTAACCCTGTCCGATAATCTAAAGAACATAATATATAACTCACGGTTTGGTTGAGTTAGTTGAAAGCAGCACATCCAGATAATCTCTGGATTAATTAATTAATTTCTCGCGAGGCGCTCTATCTCCCCGTATAAACAAGAACAAGCGAGAGGAAGCGGAGTAAAAATAAGACGACAAAAACAAACCGTACAGAACAACGCAGCCCGATCTATTGTTTATTAAACAATAGGCATCTTCTTCCTCCTCCTCCTCCTTTTCCTCCTTGCAAGTCTCAGTGACTAAGTAATCAAACGGTTGTCTCCTCCTCCAGCTCCTCTTTTTAGCTGCTAAAGCCGGCGGTGGACAGGGAAGGATCCCTTTCTTCCCCCAATAGAAGGATTTAACTATGTGGGTCCCAGCGTGTGAACCTGGTGCCCCGATAGGTTTAAGGGCCAGTCCCAAGATCGTCTGTTTTCCCCCTTGTTGTCAGTGTTGATCAGCTGATCTCAGGGAACTTCAGGGTTATTTTTTTTTTTTTAGGCAGGAAGGTAAGTGGTCAAATGGGAAGGAGAAAGGGCGGGCAGGTGCATTGTGGGAATTGCAGTATTTTTGTGTGCAGCTTTGCTGCGTTGGAAAGGAGACAGCGCCTCAGAAGCGGTAAAACAGAATCGCACAGCACACAGAGAGGCGTAGTTTCCGAAGCCCTACTAAGGCTCATAATTATGGAAAAACGGTGGTAGAAGTAAGAAAGTGTATCGGCCAAATAGAATATATACTATGCGGAATATTCAAAGAATTGTGAGCCTTAAACATTTACATCATATTAGTGTTTACTGGAGATGTTCAAACTGTTTTCAGGAAATGTTAAAGCATCAGAGACATTATAGCTAATACACATGGCATAACTGAGAAAGCCAATAAATACCTCCCAAAAGTCAATTTGATTTTTATTGACTATAGAAAGGCACCATATTACAGTAAGTCAGCCATGTCAAACAAGGCGATTTCCTTAGGGAATAGGGAATCCCAGAATATCTCATTTTCCTATTGTGAAATTCAGTCACATGAAGCCTGGACAGAGCATGGTAACACAAATTAGGCTCAGCATGGTGAAGGAATGAGGCAAGGCTTTTTATTTGTTTAATCTACAGACCGGATATATACTGAGGGAGCTGGATTGGAAGATAAGCATGGTTTTAAAATTGGAGAAAAAAAATATCAACACCCTGCAGATGACACTCCTCCACTACCTGAAATGCAAATGATATCAGTATCTAGGAATGAATGTCAAAGATCACAGGGAAAAAAGGATTGCAATTAAATATCAAGAATATCAACTGATCATAATAGGGATAGCTATCAGAATCTACAATGGAGATATTAAAATGGTGATTAGCTATCAACAGTAAAGGAGCCAGCAGTCATGAAATATACAGCAACTTAGCACTTGCTAAGCCGATCTCAAGATAGGATTCCACACTAATTACTCTTAAGGAATATTGATGCCTCACAACATGTACAGGAGACAAAATTCTTGCATCATTCTTTTGCACTCTCCAAACTTTATATAGTACTTACGACCACAATTGAGCCCCAAATTTCTGTTGCTAAGTGAGACATTTGTTAAATGAGTTTTGCCTCATTTTATGACCTTTTTTGCTAGTTATTAAGTGAATCACTGCAATTGGTAGTAATACAGTTAAGTGAATCTGACTTCCCCATTGACTTTGCTTGACAGAAGGTCACAAAAAGGGGATTGCAGGACCTGGAACCATCATAAATGTGAACCAGTTGCTAAGCATCCAAATTTTGATCAAATGATCATGGAAATGCTGGAAAGGTTGCAACTATGAAAAATGCTCATAAGTCACTTTTTTCATTACTGTTGTAACTGAATGGTCAACTAAATGAACTGTTGTAAGTCGAGGACTACCTGTACAAAACACAGGAATACAGTTATCATTTTACTGTTCTTCAATCTTTTCCCACCATTTGTCCTAATTGTTTAAGACAAAAATCTGATTCAAGAGTAGAACACAGAGGGAGGAAAAGTAACAACTGTGAGACAGTGAAAAAGTAAAAACTTCCAGTGTTGGAGCATTCACAACTTCTGAAGGCAAATTGTTCCACTGATTAATTGTTCTGTCAGGAAATTTCTTCTTAGTTCTAGTTTGCTTCTCTCCTTGATCAGTTTCCATCCATTGCTTCTTGTTCTGCCCTTGGGTGCTTTGGAGAATAGCTTGCCTCGCCTCTGTGGCAACCCGAGATACTGGAACACTGCTATCATGTCACCCCCTAGTCCTTCTTTTCATTAAACTAGACATACCCAATCCCAGCAACCGTTCTTTATATGTTTTAGTCTCCAGTCCCCTGATAATTTTTGTTGCTCTTCTCTGCATTGTCTAGAGCAGGGGTAGGCAACCTTGGCTCTTTTATGACTCGTGGACTTCAACTCCCAGAATTCCTGAGCCAGCCATGCTGGCTCAGGAATTCTGGGAGTTGAAGTCCACGAGTCATAAAAGAGCCGAGGTTGCCTACCCCTGGTCTAGAGTGTAAGATCTAGTCTGGAAAAACCACCAACACCAGACCGACTTAAGAATTTTCTGTATGTCTTTGCCAGTATTTATTGCTGGCCCAGATTTTTCCAGTTCAGATTTGTTAACATTACAGATTCTTTTAAAGTCGAACCCGAGAAAAATGTCCTAAGTCAAAAAGAATCAAAGAGTTTTGCCCAAGGCCGCATCTTCCAGCGGAACAACTACAGGCCGGGAGAGAGGACGGAAGTCGGCGAAACCGTAGCCATGCGCAGACCCAAAACGATTCCTAGAGGGGCCCGTGTCTTGAAATATCTCTAGGACTATCCCTTCGCCTCTCCGTGATCAAAACGAACGCGGGAGCTGGGCGGTCTTTGGCCGACAGCCGAGCAGGGGAGGGTGTTCACGTGAGCAGCCGCGTAACGCGACGGCGCCTGTGGCTCGGAGTGGCGCGTTTGCGGCCTAGTTTCTTTTGCCGGGTCGAGGAGAGTGGAGACCGTCGGGCCTGTTTTCCTTCGGCCGCTGCTTTCGGTGAGAGCGGGGCCATGCCCGTGCGGCTTATCCTCTGGATAAAGAGGAGGGGCCGAGGAGTGATGGGGGTTTGAGGACTTGGGGCACCTGTGTCGGGGGCCCTTCGGGAATGGGGCGGGCTGAAGGTGGCGGCCCTTTTGGAGGTTTTCAGGGAGGGTTATGACGCTTTGGGCGGGGGGGGGGGAGAGAGAGAGAGACAAGGGTTTGGATGCTTCCCTTTTTCTTTCAAAGCATCATGCTCCGAAAGGGATAGAGGGGGGCGAAGTACAGGGGCGATACCAAGAGGCCCGAGAGCCCGGCCCATTCAGACTAGACGTCCCCCGAGCCCATCCTCGTTGGCTTGCATGCAGTAACCCCGGCGCTTGATGAGCGCAGCATCGAGAGGGCGAATTGCATGTGTGAAGGGAGGCCATTGCGAAGCAACCCCCTCGGCGGGCAAAAAAAGATCGTTGAAATCTCCAGAGATCCAGAAGAATCCTCGGAGGAGGCTTTTGCGCCTGGCAATAGTTTTTTTTTTTTCTGAAAGCTGGTGGTTTGGGCGGTTTTAGGGCTCGTTTTTTTTTTTTTATCACCTTCAGCGTTTCTTGAAATGAAAAGGTTGTGTAGAACTGTACAAGCGGCACGGGATTGTCTCAACGGTGTGTAGGGATTCGTCACGACCGTTTTAAATGGCAATTGATCCATTCCCGAAAAGCGCACAGGGCCATGCGTTTATTTTTTTTTATGGCTCTGCCATCTTCTGTGGACATTTTGAAATAGAGCTTGTAATCTTATATTCGCTGATCTTGAAATTAAGCCAAACTGGCTTTTTTTAAAAAAAGGGGGTTTGCCCTGTAAATGATATTAAAAAGCCCTAAAATATTTACCTGAAATGAAATCTAAACGAATTAAGTTTGTAATCCAGAAAAGAGAAGGTAATCTCAGAAAAAAACAGATGGTAAGGTAACCAGAAGCTATGAGAAGGTAATCTCAGAAAGACAAGATGGTAAGTTGACTTTAAGGGCATCTTTTGTGTTTGGCTTAAAAATGTGGTTTTATCCATAGCCGCTTTATTGCACTTCACGTTTTAGGGGCTGGATGTAGTTTCCCTTGCTTTTCTCTCCTTGTTGCTTCAGTCAAAATGCCATCAGTTAAAGAAGAGAAGATGTCAGTTGTGGCTAGGAGGGCTTTTGCACAGTCTTGTGCTCCAGTTCCTAGATCAGGAGACTCTGTCCACAATCACTCATGCCTCCCTATTGGACTTCTGTAGAGTAACACACTCTACAAGGGGCTACCCTCAAAGAGTACCTGGAAGTTCAGGTGCAGAATATGTTTCCAGAAAATCATATGCTGCGGCAAGCTGCATATGTTGCCACTTTGCTTCTGGGTCCAATTCAGGGTGCTGGTATTATCTTTTAAAGCCCTTTGTGGTGTGTCACCAGTTATCTGAGATACCGTCTCCCCCCTATTGCATCTGCCCTGTCCCTCTGAGTACAGTAGAGAATGCAGGCTGTAGGTTCCATCCTCTAGGGCAGGGGTAGGCAACCTCGGCTCTTTTATGATTCGTGGACTTCAACTCCCAGAATTCCTGAGCCAGCTTGGCTGGCTCAGGAATTCTGGGAGTTGAAGTCCACGAGTCATAAAAGAGCCGAGGTTGCCTACCCCTGCTCTAGGGATTTACACTTGATGGGTACCAGGAGGCTGGCATTCTCCCTGTCCCAAAAAGTGAGGCGAGGCTCCATCCCTGTTGATGTTCAAGAGGTCCCTCAAGACCTGGCTTTGTTACCAGGCTTTCTCTCAGGGGACCAATGAAATCTTATAATGGGGTATAATGGCTGCAGCTGATAATTACCTTGCAATACAGTTTTTCATTTGTTAATGTTTTAAATTTTAAAGATGACTATTGTATCCATAAACAAAGTAACCAAACCAGAACAATTGTACTACCTGTACTTGAAAATGCCGCCTGACACTAACTTCTGTTATTTCCTCATATAGTTACAAAAATTATTTGGGAACAGATTCTGAGAGGAACAACTGATGAATATAGCTGAATCAGTTGAATTATTTCAGAAGTATTTTGCTCTTTAATAAGACCATAATAATGTATTCAATAATGTTCTATATTGCTTAATATAGTTTTTGGATAAGTATGGCGTGGGTCATTGTTTGGTTTCATCCAGCTGTTTGGATTTCTTTTCTTTTTTTTTTAACACAGTTGGAAAAAGAATTACCTTCCTTAACATTTTCCTTTTGTTTTCTGCTGTTTTTCTTTTTGCTGTGTATTCTTCATTTTGCATATTCTCATCTGCAGAAATTTTTTTATTTCCTATTTTTACATTTTTAAAAAATATTATTTGGTCAGCCCATTCTTCTTTGCTTGTGAAATGACCCCTTCTGTTTCTGAATTAAGCTGATTCCCTCAGCAATCTTTCATGGATCAGAAATTGTTCTGCATTTCTTTGTTATTGGTTAGTCTTCATTTTATCAGTCATATTTTGCTTGTTTAAATTATTAATTTCTGAACATAAAACTACTTAGATTTTCCTCTTGAAATTTTGCTTTGGAAATACCATAATTAGAAAAACTAGAATAGGACTGTAACTCATGCTCCACAACTGACACCTACAATCACAAAATAATGAATATGCTTTCATTTTTATATTCTTAAACATTGGAATTTTAATTATCTGCCTTCAGCTTACTTTTTATGTAAAAATAAATTAAGTGAAAGATGCTTTCAAATAAATATAGAATTATAGCCAAAACTAATCTGCAGTTCATTTAATGACCATTTGAAATTACAGCGGCACTGATAAAAGTGACTTATGGCCATTTTTCACACGACCATTGTAGTATCTCCATGGTCACGCGATCAAAATTCCAATGCTTGGCAACTGGTTGATATGATGGTTGTAGTGTTCCGGGGTCATGTGATCACCTTTTGTGCTTTCTGACAAGCAAAGTCAATGGGGAAGCCAGATTCACTTAACCGTGTTACTGACTTAACAACTGCAGTGATTCACTTAACAACTGTGGCAAGAAAGGTTGTAAAATGGAGCAAAACTCACACAACAAATGTCTCACTTAACAACAGATATTGTGGGCTCAATTGTGGTCGTAAGTCAAGGACTACCTTTTATTACGGAAGATTGTCTCCTGTATCTTTAGGCCACTGTATTTTGTTAACTAATGATAATACTTTAAACTGTAACAAGAGTTCTCCAGGTATTTTTCTAAGAGCTTTTGGAACACCTCTACTGAACTAGTAATTTACATAATCAGCTTTTATGAGTACCGAGTTAAATACATTTCTAAAATGTGGGCTGTTCAATCAGAAATACAATTTTAATTAAAATGGTTTAAACCGATTTGACTGAATTTAATAGAAATTCTATTGCTACACAATAGTATATATAGCTATAAATGTGCCTTCCTATTTAAACAATTGTAATGTCACCTGTGTAACTGCCTGGAACTATTGTTTTAACCCAGTAATAGAATAATGTCATCCTAAAAGGTGAAGCAAGCTATGGATCTTAATGAAGTTCTTTTTTGTTTGAGACCAATAATAATAATAATAATAATAATAATAATAATAATAATAATAATAATAAAGTTGGAAGGGACCTTGGAGGTCATCTAGTCCAACCCCCTGCTCAGGCAGGAAACCCTATACTATTTCGGACAAATGGCTGTCCAGTTTCTTCTTAAAAACTTCCAGTGTTGGCGCATTCACCGCTTCTGGAGGCAGATTGTTCCACTGGTTAATTGTTCTCACTGTCAGGAAGTTTCTCCTTAGTTCTAGGTTGCTTCTCTCTTTGGTTAGTTTCCATCCGTTGCTTCTTGTCCTGCCTTCAGGCGCTTTGGAAAATAGCTTGACTTCCTCTTCTTTGTGGCAGCCCCTGAGATATTGGAACACTGCTATCATGTCCCCCCTCATCCTTCTCTTCATTAAACTAGACATACCCAATTCCAGCAACCATTCCTTATATGTTTTAGCCTCCAGTCCCCTAATCATCTTTGTTGCTCTTCTCTGTACTCTTTCTAAAGTCTCAGCATCTTTTTTACATCGTGGTGACCAAAACTGGATGCAGTATTCCAAGTGTGGCCTTACCAAGGCATTGTAAAGTGGTATTAATACTTCACGTGATCTTGATTCTATCTTGATTCTATTGTGTGAAGAAGTATCTGGTTATGTCCAGTGAGCCACTTTGAATTAAACTCTAAAGAGACAGCTCAAAATAACAATCTATATGAACTTTTATCAAATGCATCTTCCACTAAACTGTTGGAATTACTCTGGATATTTTATTACAATGATAAAGAGCATTAGAAAAAGTTTTAGATGGCTGAAGTTTTGTAAATTTTAAATAAGTTATATGTTGCTTTAATTTCCTTATGTTTTATATTTCCAAAATACTTGGTTGTCTGTTCAAGTGATCCCACTTTTATTATATAAAAATATAAATATAAACTCTTTTTATATTTAATCTTTGGCACCTTGGGAAGGTATTTTTAAGGATACATTTCAGTTCTGTTTGTTATTTTATTCTGTAATATACTAAACTCTCCCTTTATTGTGGAGTTTCAGATTAGATCAGATTCCTTTGCTACCATCATGGCTTGTTTGACAGGAATCAGAAATGAACATTAGAGCAAAAATGTTTTTCCTTGATGTCAGTTTGAGGAAATTATGATGAGAAAGACCTCTGTCAATATTCTGCAAGTGAGATGGGTTAGTTGTGTCACTCCATCCCTGCATTATAGTACTAGATTGAGTGAAGAAAAACTCCTTTCTAGAAACTGGAGACTCAGCAGGCCTCATAGAGAGCATCTGGAAGTATAATTTGTGCTCCAGATGGCCCATCTATGCACCATATTATGAACTTTATGAAAGTATAAATATTTGAGGCAATACATATCTTGATCCAAGCTACTATTTTAATATATACATTTTATGAATGTTATCATTCATGGAAAATAGCAAAGTCCTGAATTTAATTTCTTAGGATTCTCTTGATTTATTTTTTAGTGAATAAGTCCAGAAGAACTGTTATTTCTGTTTATCTTATCTAAATTAATATTTCTTCACACATTAGTACCCTCAAAGGAGGAATATAGAGGCAACTTTCAGAGGAGATTCTCTGTAAGTACTCACTAATGGATGGATGTTTCAAAAGATTCATAGTTCTGAATCTGATTGTTCTGTGCTTTCTTTTTTTTAAGGTTATTGTTAAAATGTCTTTTCCACCTCACTTAAACCGTCCTCCAATGGGAATCCCAACACTTCCACCTGGAATTCCACCTCCACAGTTCCCAGGTTTTCCTCCACCTGTACCTCCTGGTAAGTTACATCAGAAACTCGTCAAATTAGCCTCATTTTTCCATCACTAATTAATAAATCTTTTTAAGGTAAGTTAATAAGGAAAATATTCTTCTTTATAAATATAGTTTTCTTGCATTTCTATTTAGTAGGTGTTTTAAAATTGTGGTTGATTCTTGAACAAAAACTGTTAATATAATCTCTTTTCACAGGGACTCCAATGATTCCTGTGCCAATGGGTATTATGGCTCCTGCACCAACGGTAAGCATAATATAAAATACAATTTGTGTAAATTTTATTTATAGAAATAATTGCAAGATTTGATTACTTTTATATCATCTTCCAAAATGTCATTAGTGTCTGACAGAAATAATAGCAATTAATAGTAATTACAAAAATATTGAACACTGCTCGCCAGCTGGTGCAAAGCTAGTTCGCCCACTGTAGTATACCTTGGATGTGTAAACAAAATGAAACAAAAAGTGATCATCAAAGATTGATCAGTATAATAGTAGTCGCCTATATTTTGCAAAATTAGAGTCATATTCAGGAACACAGGACTCCCCTTTCTTTGATAAACAGCTTCTATCCTTTGTCTTATATTTGAAACTAGGTTAAATCTAAATCTGACTTTGATTATTGTTTGCAAAATGTCTTGAAATCATTGCTAAATTAGAACTATCATTACCATTGCCCCAATAATCATGGTTGAAACCAAGAAGGAAAGTGTTTTACAATAAAGAGAAAGAATTGGAGTTTTTTAATTGGCATGCTCCAAAAATTAAAGAAAAATCACTTGTAAAGAATCAATATTGTACTTGCACTGATCTCCATTTGCAAAAGATCATTCAGTTGTTTTAACACAGGGATGGGCAATTTTATGGCTGTTGGAGCACTCTCCAATCCTGTACCCAAATTCGGGGGCAAAACTTTGTATCAAAAAGTGCATAATAGATGCACTAACTTTAAAATACACTACTTGGTACTTTAAACATTTCAAATCCCCAAAATGGAGGGGAAAAGCAAATACTGAACCTATTACATGATTGGGTGCAGTCCAGGGAGCCAAATAATTGTTTTTAATAAAGTCGCTGCCAAATTTCAAAAAATTTCCATCTCTATTTTAATTAATACTTCCCAAGTTTAAGGAAAGTTATTCATCTCAGCGTGGCATTTTAAATACGAAGAAATATAATATGTAGATTATTAAAAATATATAAATTTAAATAGAAATATTCTGAATTTCTGTATAATTTTCTGTTTGGATTACTTTGTGTTTGATTCTTACGGAATCACCTGAAAAAAATTGCATGAAATAATCTCTGTTGTAGAGAAAGCTATTCAGACAAAATTAATTAATACTGAAATCTTCAAAGTAAATGTGTCGCAGCACATTTGTTTTCAGTAATGTATTGTTTAAGTTATTTGACCATTTTGTTATAATGTTAAATAATGTGGTCCTTCTGTATTTCTGGACTTTTTCTTCTAATGAAGATCCGATAAGGGTTTTTCCTCTTTGAAATTTAACAATAGGAATCTTTTTATTTCCAGGTATTGGTTCCAACTACAGTGTCAATGGTTGGAAAACACATGGGTGTTAGAAAGGAACATCCAGGTCTAAAGAATAAAGAAAATGATGAAAACAGTGGACCCACCACCACTGTCTTTGTAGGCAACATATCTGAAAAGGCGTCCGACATGCTTATACGACAGCTTCTTGCTGTAAGTAACATAACAGTATTGGAACTTAGTCCTGCAGATCTTAATTAGGATGATGGTGGTGGTGGTGGTGGTGGTGGTGGTGGTAGTAGTAGTAGTAGTAGTAGTAGTAGTAGTAGTAGTAGTAATAATAATAATAATAATAATAATAATAATAATAATAATAATAATAATAATAATAATAATTTTGGAAGGGATCTTGGAAGTCATCGAGTCCAACCCCCTGCTCAGGTAGGAAACCCTACACCATTTCGGACAAATGACTGTCCAGTCTCTTCTTAAAAACTTCCAGTGTTGGAACATTCACCGCTTCTGGAGGCAGGTTGTTATACTTGTATACTGATTTAAAATGTTCTGTTGGCCAAGATTTAAACTTGCAACTTATGGCACTTGCAATTTGCCATGCAGAATATTTAATCTCGCTGTTTGTCGGTATTTTCATATGGTAGTGAAAAATACCTCTCATTTTCCATACTCACACAAAGAATCAACCTCAACTGACTTAGCCATTGAAAAGTGATAGTAGTAATTGCAGTCCAAAGTATATGGAATACCCAAAATTATCTCTTGCTCCATTTAGCCAATTGAATTTCCATTCCACTACTCCTGCCATCATGCTTGGCCCTGGATCCAACTAAGCATCCTTCATTGGAGCTAGAAATATTGCTCAGCCACGGTCTATGAAATCAGACCTTGTATAATTTTGCAATAGAGTGGATAATTGTTACATGCTGTCAAGACAGAATTGTTTCCTGATGACTGCATGTATAAATGTTTTAGCAATAAGATTTGGCTATTCCAAATAGTCCTGCAATTCACTTTATCTTTTATTGTCTTTTTTCTTTCTATCTTTCCAATTATACTCATTTTTCCTACATCAGCCTATGCACTATATTCCCTAAATATGTGAGTTTTTGCTTGCTGATCATTTGGAAAGAGCACTAGTCTTTATTTGGACCATGATTGACTGATTCTTGCAGTTCATGCTACTCTTAGTAACTGTCCAAATCCATAATTCAAGGAACTCTTATCTTCTTTGTACAATAATTAAATGTATTATTCGTTAACAGGAATTAACCTAAAAAGCATTCTTTAAATAAAAATAAAACTACTTAGGGAGGGTATTTCTTCATGATGCATATTCAGCCATTGTCCACTAACATTTATGCCTTTTTAATCAATATTTTTCAGAAATGTGGGTTGGTTTTGAGTTGGAAGAGAGTTCAAGGAGCATCTGGAAAACTCCAAGGTATGTGTATTTTCTTGTCTTTATTTTTGTATACACAAACATATAATCTATATGTCTATATAAATTCATATGTATGAACATACAAGCTTTGTTAATAAATCTTCCCATATTTATTTATTTTATTTGTCATATTTAGGAAGTGCCCATCTCTCTCACAGAGGGACTCCTGGGCAGTGTACAATAAAATATTAGAAGCATAGAAATCAGTATGCAAAATTTGAAAGAAGCAGGGAATGTTAAAAATTGATTAAAAGGGGGAGACAGTCCACACTGTCAGTAGTAGTGAGAAAAGAAACACGATAATAGGAAGTCTTACTTGATCATTGTAGTTGGCTTACTGAACTGTTGTTGCACAATGTGGTGGTCTTCAGTGGTTTGCCTTATTACCATCAGATTGGTGACAACATTCCAGCTGGTCCAATTCCTATCTTATGCAACAACATAAATTACCACATCATTTTTGAAATTATTATTGCAGTTGATTGGCTATTTGGGGGCTTTACTTAAGAGACAGCAACATAGAATATATGCTCCTAATTTAAAACACTTGAATGTATAGCATTGAGCAGACATTTTTTCTAAATATTTAAAAATGTACTTTACAGAGGTCTTGATAAGACACAATTTACATTGAAAAGCAGTCTTGTGATTGTTGATATATCATTTGCCTATATGACTTTTAAATTTATATTCTAAATTCTCAATTATTTCTAGCTTTTGGATTTTGTGAATATAAAGAACCTGAATCCACACTACGCGCACTGAGATTGCTACATGATCTCCAGATTGGAGAAAAGAAGCTACTTGTTAAAGTTGATGCCAAAACAAAGGCTCAGCTGGATGAATGGAAAGCAAAAAAGAGGGCATCCAATGGGGTATGTATACAAATCAAGAAATACACAAAATAGAAAATAATTGATAGGCATAATTTCCCTATACCTCTTTTGTTGCATTGTTTCTGTTCAGTCTGTTGTGTTGAATTTATGGTTCTTTTGTAGATTAGCTCCGCACTACTCCTTTGGCACAATCAACCAGTCCCAATCAAAATGATAATCTGAATAATAGTCATAATTTTGAGCTTGTGCCATTATGATAAAGAAGTTAATAAATTTTCTGTTTGGAAGTTGTGAGCTGTAGAACAGAAAAAGCTCATACAGCAAGTCCTTGTTTAGCAACTGCCTTGCTAAGTGACCATCCACAAATTATGTAATAAATGATAGTTTAAAAATCATTTTCTGAGCAATATGTATACTTACACCCAAAGTTTTGTGCCTGATAAGAACAAACTCTTAAGAGTAATACTGGCAGAGATTCATGAGAGAACTTTATCTAAAAGGGTAGCAGCAACCAAAGATCTTTGCAGCATATCTCTCTCCCCTCTCCCCCTCCCTCTCTCAAATGGGTTGCTTAACGACCATGTTGCCAGAACCAATTGCAGTTGCTAAAGGAGGACCACCTTTATTTTCATTTCTGTATCTTTAAAAACTCATGCATTTCAGGTAATCCTGAATAAAAGGAAAATAATTGATATTTCGGTAAGATTTTAAGCTTTCTGTTTTTATGATTTATAGCATATATCTATTTTGAAAAATATGGTAGAATTAATCAAATTAGTTCTGAATAGCACTTTCACTTTGCAAAGTTATTTTAATGTCACTTATCCAACACACTCTGTTAGCGCTTTCCAAGCTGTTCTTAATATGACAGCTTCTCTGCATGACAGCTTCTCTGTCAGCTATAATCCCTTCCCTCCTCCTTTCCTTGCTTCTTAGCTACTGCTGCTTAGTGAGACTTTCCTTTTTCTATTCTTTGTTTCTTCACCTGGCATTTGACTGGATAAACTGTCTTGGAATTTAAGGTGAGAGTCCCTTTGATTTTCTCTCTAAAGAAAAGTTTTAGCAAGCTTTTTGAAGCTCACCAATCATTTGTTGCCGTTTATTTTAAAGAATTTGAGATAGCATTTAAGCAATATTGAATGGGGCAAAATATTTCTTTAAAATTAATATATACATTTATCTTCATAATCAGGTTTTGTTTGCTATTAGGTTGTGGGTAACTGAGATTGCAATTAGGGTTGCATTGTTGTCTTTAGTAATACGAATATGTGCTGGTTGTTTATGAGGAATTATGGAAAAAAATGATTAATTCAGTTTTTATATTTGTAATTGTTATAAGCAAACTCATTCACTGAAAATGTTAGAACGTTTTAAATGTTTTAGAAACTAAAATGTAAGTTGAAGGAAGAACTGGGGGGACTTGTTCCAGGTATTATATAACTTTCCTAGAAATTATATTTTAGCAATGTTTAGAGCACAATATACAATAGAATACAAATAAATTGCATGTATAATAGCAAATTTATTAATATGTGTATGATTACACATTATTATATATTCAGAAATCAGGTTTTATAAATTTAAAATTAAAGCTCTAAGACAATTTATCATGCAAGCCACGTGACAAGGTTCATATGAAACCGTTTCTCTAATTTCTGCTTTATTGAAAACAGTATTTGACTATATAGGTAGTCCTCAACTTAAGACCACAGTTGAGCCCAAGGTTTCTGTTGCTAATCGAGACAGTTAAGTGAGTTTTGCCCCATTTTATGACCTTGCTTGCCACAGTTGTTAAGTGAGTCGCTGTATTTGTTAAGTTAGTAGCACGGTTGTTAAGTGAATCTGGCTTCCTCATTGACTTTGCTTGTCAGAAAGTCACAAAAGGTAATCATATGACCCCGGGACACTGTAACCGTCATAAATATGAGCCAGTTGCCAAGAGTCTGAATTTTGATCATGTGAGCATGGGGATACTGCAGGGGTTATCAGTGTGAAAAACACCCATAAGTCACTTTTTTCAGTGCCATTGTAACTTCAAATGTAACCATTCACTAAATCAATAGTTGTAAGTCGAGGACTACCTATACTAGCTTGATTATCAATATACAGAGAAGCTTAAAATTATTATATTATTTGCCACGTGGAAAAATTAAGCAAATGCACACACTTAATCTTGTCTTCAGAGTGTATACTTTATATGAAATGAGCTTCTCTAATGAAAAGAGTTTTTGCAAAGTTTCAGTATGTGTGTCTGCTGTGAGGAAGGAGGATGAAAAACCGCATCTCCCTCACAGTACTCAAGCTGCAAAGTTAATAAGATCATCTGAGTAGTTGTGCAGCACTCCTATTAATTTCTCCGTTTTGAGATTGTGAGGAATCTAGGACTTGTTTTGCAGCTGTGTGGCAAAGCAACTGAAGGACGTTAGGTTTTCATGCCCAGTTATGAACAGCTCCTTTGGCCTTTGCTGCCTCACTTAACCGAAGACCACTGATGCAATTTTTGGCAGTGGCATCTAAGGGTACATGACACACTTACCTTTCCACAGGAAAACATCCATCCCATAAAGAACCTTAAATCTGGCTTTTCGTAAAGGAAAAGCCAGCACATGAGATTGATAGATAGAGGTATGGTAACTATGTTTTTAGAAATTCCAGCAAAATATTATCACCCTGCCCCTTCCCAGTTTATAATATATCAATGTTTTCTATTCTAACCTTGTAGTATAGATATTGTTTCATTTATGTTCATTGCTTGATGGTTTTGATGCAATAATGGCAATGATTATGTTGCCTTAGCTGTGTAGGGGAAGTCAGAGGGTGAAAATAATAAACGTTTTGTTTGTTTGCCTTTTCCATTATGACATTGTTGTTTATATTGTTTCTTAGAACTCCAGGCCAGAATCTGCAGCCGATGATGATGAAGCCCTTGATGAAGAAGCAAAGAGAAGAGACCAGCTAATTAAAGGGGCAATTGAAGTGTTAATTCGGGAATATTCCAGCGAGCTCAATGCCCCCTCTCAAGAGTCTGATTCTCATCCCAGGAAGAAGAAAAAGGAAAAGAAGGAGGACGTATGTGTTTTGATTTTGGACACAAACAGATTTACTTCATCTCTCCTTATAATAAGGGCCAAACCTTGTGCCATACATTAGCTCAAAGCATCTGATGAAACCACAAACCAACAAGCCTTGATGTTAGCAGCACTTACATGTTTCATACTGAAATTAAATCAGTTCTAAATGCCAAACCCTGTGGATGATGTAGGTCTGTATACACAAGGGTTGAATTCCCAGACTTGGAGCTGCAGGTTTGATTCAGCCTTTCATCCCTTCAAAATTCATTTATTGAAATTATTGAAGTTTGTTCTTTGTTATGGAGAGGTGTTTTGACATCTTAAAAGTAAAAGTCCTGCCTATTAATATTTGTTATTTTAAAAGGCCAAAAGCTCTGGGCTGTAGGGGTTCACACTGATGTCATAACCACAACGTACCTTCTTTGCTGTCCTGTTTTGATTATGTTTGTGCACATAAGCGAGAAGCTGTTTGTTATTCTTGGGGAAAAGCTATGCTATTATAAAATGGTTTGTTATTATTTGGCTATTAAGCCATCTGACTTCCAGAGTTTTTAAGTGTAACGTATGGCACAGAATGCCATATCCATATTCCACCTTCTGTGGAAAAAACTAGTCATAGTTGGGCTAAAAATAAAATTCACTCTGGGAGAAAGTACTTTGCAAATACTTGCATGCTTGACTGTAACTCAGTCACAATTAGAGTTAACTGGTGGGTTTTGGCTTGAGTTTGCAGCCCTCCTGCTAAGTTTAATTTTCTTTTACCACTATTGGGTTTGAAAATCAGTACCAAAAAATCAATCAGAGTTGTTACACATTTCCTCTTGCTAGCCTCCAGTTAATCTGAGTAAGCCTTGTGCTGAAGTTTTTGTTTATCTTAGTTCCTTAATGATGCTCATTCCCCTAAAATTTAACCAGATGATGGATTATCTTCTGAATATACAGCAACTCTTATAATGGTACTGAGAAAGATAAGTGTTAAAAAAATCACTTCTTGTTAGCCCACTTTACATTAATTGAATATTGAATTTCCTAATGTTTAGATTAGGATTATTTCAAATTATACATTGCTTACATAGCTGAACTTTAAATAAGTGTGCTCTGTTCTTTTCACCTTTTGAGAAGATGGGAGTGCATCCTTCTCCCTTAGCAAGTGGAACTAAAGCTCTGTATATGGTGGGGGGGGGATAAATTGAGGTGTGTGCCGGGTAACACTGGGTTAGAGGCACTTTTGTCTCCTTTATTGAATGCTTATGATCACATTTGGTTCCCTTGGCCGTTCTGTGGTTGAAAAGATGAGATGAGGGATAATGTGGGAGAATAATGTGAGTGTGGGGAAACAAATGGCAAATCAAATCTGACTCTTGATTTCAGATGTGGGGAACCTCGCTAATTTGCAGTAACTTGGGAACCCCCTTGAGATCATTAAATTTTGCGAATTAGCGAGTAAAGTACAAAATCAAACTTAAAATATTGCAAAAGGCACTGGCCACTTGTAAACAAGCATAGTTAGCTTGCAAGATTTCTTTAGTATGATAATACTAAAATTGTATCCTACAATTTTAAATGGAGACGTACTGGGTGAGGTGGCACCCAATAAACCTTTGCTGAAAAGTAGATCAGTAAAAGGAGAATTAGCGAGGTTCTTCGTAATTTTGCTGAGTCAGACCAAAATTCACAGCAATACAATATTGCTTGTTCTACCAACATACAGAACATTGTTTTTTTTTCCAGAGTAGTGTGCAATCTTATTTTTTAAAAAAAAAATCTCCGTGGATTTTTCCGCAGATTTTCCGCAGATTTCCAGTGGCCCCACTGATACCTTATCCACTCATCACCAAGGTTCGTTTACATTGTAGGCTTTGACAATGACTATGTTTACTGCTAGTTACCAGATTTGTGACTCGTGTCCATCTAATTTTTTTTCATTCATTTAACATCAGACTGTGAGGTTTGGTACTGCAGAAGCCCTTTATTTATCTCTTACAAGACTGGTACAAAACATCTAACCTTCAGTTTTTCTTTTGGTTCTCCCATTCCTTTGTGCATGGATTTTAATATTTTATTTCTTGTTCTGTCCCCCACCTCTTTTTTCCTTTACAGGAGGATATAAATGCTATAGAAATGGAAGAAGATAAAAGGGACCTGATATCCCGAGAGATTAGTAAATTCAGAGATACACACAAGGTAATATACTTCTTTTTGCAGCTTATGCAAACTTAGGTTATTATAAAACCCAGTTTCAATTCCTTCACCCTTTAGAAAATTTGCAAGGACATTACATATCATTTGTTCATCTTTATAGCAGGAATAATGTGTATCTAAAAATTCTCACTGAAGGTCTACTATTTTAGTTAGCATTTTCATATTATTGCATTGCAATCTTCTCTCTTAACACAAATACATTTTTAAAAAATACCCTTCTACTCTGCTTGTTTTAAAATTAACCCAAAGTGGCTAAAATAACACATAAGAGCAAATAACTAAATTGGGCTGCCCTTTGAAACACACTTTGATTCCCATAATAGTCAGGTAATTGTAAAACATAATTCATACTGTATTACTAAGCCCTATTGCTTAGTTTAAATTTAAGATTACATTTAGTAGCTGAATTGAGAATGGGGGTGAAATAAACTAGGTATTATTTATCAGACTTTACCAAAATATAGATGCATGGAAGAACTGTAAATTCCCATAAAGCTAATCTATTCATTGACCCCCACCATTATGATAGAGATCATATGGTGACTAATGCAAGATGAAAAACACAGCTTGGAAAGTAACATGGAATAGGATGTAAGTATGAGCTTCTGCTTTTTTTTTATTATTTATGGATGCCCCCTCAGAAAAATATGCAAAGGGGTAACTGGCTTGGAAATGTGTTTGCACAGCAAATTCTACCTCAGGATTCCCACCTAGAGAAGTTTCTGTAATGTGAATTTATTAATGTGTTCTGGTTGGGGAGGGTGGTGCAAGGGTGGAGAAGTGCAAGCTATGCATGCAGTGTATATCTTGATGTTTAGCTTTCCTGGAATAGTAACTGTGCATAAAAGCTGGATTACTCCATGCCAGCAAATATATTCACTCCTGACATGAGAATTCTGTTGGCTAATGGCATTGAATGGTATGAAGGTACAAAATGGTAATGTACATTCTGGTTACAGGTTACGCTTATTTGCATTTCTAACGTTTAAGTAAAAAGTAGTTATATGTTGCTGGTAATGCACAATATTCCAATATTACTTGGGAATGAGAACCTGAGGATAAGTATTCCGAAGATGTGTGAAACTGGTCATAGTGAAATATGGTCTTATTTCCAAGCCCCAACAAGTAACTAAAATGCATTTAAATGATGTGGTTCAAAAACAAAAGCAAAATGTGCTTCCTGTTTCAGAAGCAATTGGGCATATTTATTGCCTGTGATCTATCTTATTGGAAAACATTTTAATTTACTTTTTGAAATAGATGAAATTAATGCCAATATAAAGTGGCCATTTTATATATTGGGTGGGATGATTAAAAAGGGGCTGGCTAGCGAGCACAGTGAACCTTTGCATGTTTTTTGGTTAGAGTTTACAAAATAATAATCAGACTGTTAGGGTGTCAGTATTGCAGGGGGCGTCCATTTACAGCACAGATGAGTCTGAAGAGAACTTCAGGTAAGATTTTATTATTGTTCTGTCTATACTCTTTGCTCATTACTTCAGCATATCCTTAATTCTTTCTCCATTTCATTTTTACCCCCTTATTTTTTGTTTACATGGAAGCAGCCTATTCAAATTTGTATGAAATAACTCTGTTGATTTACTATCTGGCATCTTAAAGGCCTTCATTTAAAGTTGCTCTTTTTCTTAAGAGCATTTTAAGTACAGATAAATTTTGATGATGATTTTATGGCAACCAGCAGCATAACCAATAGCATTTTATTGGAACAACTAAAATAATCTAAAATATTGGAACAGCTAAAAATAAAGTAAGTATTGCCCATTCCAGTATCTAAACTTTTCTGTAAAAAGTATATAAAATTTGAGGTAAGTTCTACTTTGGAAATTTGATACAGCATATATAAATATGCCCTAATTGATGAAATTATATGAGAGCACTTCATTTAGAAATTAGATAGTAATGTTCTCACATGTTGCACACTTTCATCTTTTCCCTCCTTATAATGGCTGTTTTCTATCATTCTTAAATATCCTTTCATTTGTGAGTTCAATGTATCTAACACCATTTTGCCAGCATTTTATGTTTAGTACTATTTAGCATCATGGTTAGATATATTGATCTCTTGTTTCTTAGTTTTATTACTATGATCTTGTTTGGGTTCTCTGGTCCATGGGTGTGCCCCAGAACACTATCTGACAGGTAAGATTGTTTTTCAAATTGTCTTAAATTATTTGTTGAAAGAGAGAAATATATGCACATTTTGTTGTCCTAATTTATATGGTATTTTGCTGATGGTAAAGTTGATGCCAAAAGGAATGAATATGCTCTTTCCATTATTTAAAGTGCATCAGTTACAGGTAGGGTTTGATCTCTCCTTATACCAGTGCTGGGTCCCTGTACAGAGGGCTCTCCAGAAAGAATAGCAAAGCTCAATTACTCTTTCCTTGGCACATGCAGGGGTTGAGCAGGCCATTCCTCAAAATGGGAAATTTACATATTCCTCTTATCTTCCCATCCATTTTCTTCAATTGTTCAGAGAATACAAATTGAATATTTCCTTTGCCAAGTGTTGAGGGCAGACTGGATGGAAATATGAGAGCCATATGCAAGCCTTCCATTCTGAAAATAGCTTGTACATTAAATGTGTGTATCAAGGAGAGAACAAGTGGGAAAAGGATACCGTGGTGTTCTCTGTGGCATCCCTCTAGGCACAACACTTGTACAAGGAAGAATCATGCCCTTAAAGTTCTGGCATCCATTCGGCTGATTATTGGTTTATGGGGTTTTTTGGGAGGTTTTTTTTTTTTTTTTTGGTTTACTTGTGAACCATGTACTTGCTCTTCCTCCCAGAAATATAGCTTGTAGGCAAGGTTAATCCAGTGTTGGCGGTCCATGTCCTAGCACAGCATCTGTAAGTTAACACACACCAATTGCTTCCAAGGATGGATTTATCTATTAATGAGATTTAATTTTTCTGTTATCTTCATGGGAGTTTTAGTAGTAGTTGTGACTTTTTCAATAAAATGTACTTTTATAGAAATTCAGTGACATAATAATCTTTTAATCTTTGTGATTTCCAACCTTTTCCTTCCTGCAGACCCTTTGAATGAGAATCATATCAGTGAATTAAAAAAAAAACCCAGTAGAAGCATTGTGATTGTAAAGATGTTTGAAACTATACAGTCATATTCTCCACTATAAAATTAGAAATTGCTTTATTCTCTAAGTTTAGAGAGAATAAACTTAATTTAACTAGATGTGACATAATTCTCTATTAAGCTTCTGTTAATATCACTATGTGAATTGGATGAATTTTGCTGCATAAAAATGTAATCTTGTTTAGGGTCAAAGTATTTTTCATTCTCTGAACTATTATAGGCAATGCATTCATGTAATAATCAGTACGGAGGGGACAAGCATTGCTTTTCTATTCAAGGTTGGAGATTGCTGGCCTGCTAGGTAAATAATTTGCACGAAATCTATCTTATGAATGCAAAACTTTGTTTTCATCGCTATGAGTTGAAAGCAAACTATAGTGTTGAATTATCAGTGATCTTGATATTCTTGTTAGCAGATTTTGGTATTGTGGGGTGGGGTTTCCAAATCTAGTTACAAACTAACTTGGAAAATCCTCTTGGTTTCTAGAAATTGGAGGAGGAAAAAGGCAAAAAGGAGAAAGAAAGACAAGAAATTGAAAAAGAACGGCGTGAAAGAGAGAGGGAACGGGAACGCGAAAGAGAAAGAAGGGAGCGTGAAAGAGAGAGGGAGAGGGAGCGTGAACGAGAGAAGGAGAAGGAACGGGAGCGGGAACGGGATAGAGATCGGGATCGCACTAAAGACAGAGACCGAGACAGGGAAAGAGATCGAGACAGAGACCGTGAAAGAAGCTCAGACCGGAATAAAGATCGGAGCAGGTCTAGGTAAATATTGCAATATAATAAATACTTCATAATTTGGTAATGTCTTTTTAAGGCGACTATTCTAAATGTATACAGTAAATGGCATCGTTTTATTGTTTTTAACACTGTAAGCTACCCAGAGTCACCTCATGATGAAATGGGCAGAAAACAAATTTAATAAATAAATAACAGCAGATTATGTATAAAGTATTATAACTTGAGCCCCACTTTGACACCTTATCTCTTTGGTACCATCACAGAATTAATTGATAAAGCCATACGATGAGGAACTGTTGATTTTTCTGTGGGAATGCAATTTCAGCAGATTTCTATGCACTTCTATTGTTCAGGGATTATTTGCCCAATGTCTACCTTTTTGTGGAAAAATGGAAAAGAAATAATGGAGATGCTGGTCAATCCCTGATTTCTTTAAAAAGGGGAATGGGTGGGGAATCCTACCACTTTGTGGAGGGAAATATCCTCCCCTGTTCCTGACACAGGAAAAAAAAAATCCCCCCTTTTAAAATAAATATTCTTTATCATGATTTTACTCTTTTTACCTTGGGTACTGACATGGGAATGGGGCAGAATTTAAGACTCAGAAAGATAAGTATCTATATTTTGTTATCACAAAGAATGCAAATTAAAGGGACAAAATCACTGTAGAAAACATTCACTTTAAAGGAGAGATTCTGCATGAGGTATAGGGTTGCAATTTCTCTCTCGTCTCCTAGACTTTTCTTTCCCATGAAATGGAGGATCTGCCCAGTATCTCCCTTTCCAGGTTTTCCAGCTTTCCATAACATATAGTCAAACATAAAGTGGATATACAAGACAGAATCAAAATAGCCAGAAATGTACAAATCTATATTTCAGATCTGGACTAGATGTTCTTCCCAGCTCCATCAGGTATGCACAACTTTTTTCCAGGTCAAGAGCTGAACTACGCGTGCAAAGATATCCTGTAGTTATATTCCAAAAATAGTGCAGGTGTACAAAACCTTCATTTGATTTAGTTAAGTTACATCTTACACTTAATTAAAATATAGCTAATTGGGTTATTGTTTGTTATGTATTTAATAAGTTTCTATTCCTTTCATGTTAAAAATTACAGTAGTAGCTCTTATAGGCTTCAATTTGCAGCTTTAGGTTCTGGATCTTTGTTATAAAGCATGGTTTACACACTAGGAGTTGGGTTCACATAGTTCCACTCTAGAGCTTCTTCCACTCTAGAGCTTCTTTAGATTCTAAATTGACTTATGGCTTTACCTGTTCCAAACCGCACTGCTTCCCATGATCTGTTCATGTTGACAGTTCACAGCTATTTCCCCCTAAATTTAACTTGTTCTTCCTTAAATCTCCTTTCTCCCAATTCTTCTGATGATCTGTTCCTAATAGTCTGACATGTCTCTCATCTGTGTCCCCTTTGATTCAATTTTCTTTCCAATTCACAGTTTATTGGTGATACAATTTGGGAACGTCCTCTTAATTGGCTTTTAGCTTGGCCATTTCAGTCATCCCTAAGCTCATGCAGAGACAAATGCTCAATGTGCTAGTTAACGGTGATATTTATTGACTGAAACCTCCAAACGTATCTGAGAGAGAATGTAAAACTGTTCAGCTAGTATGTCTCTCCTCAGCAGTTTTGTCTCTGTGAATTGACACTTGAACCTCTTATTTAACCTAAATATTTCCATGCAAATGCCAACTCTAAAAGGTGAAATTGCTACAATCTGAGTGATCCTGTGCTATGTGTAGATGGGTTTAATAGAAGTTTGAGTTTCTTATTAGTTACAGGGCTCTCTAAATCATTAAATATGACATTTAGTGCTACTTTGGGGGCTTTTTGTGTAAACTAATCAGACCCAAGTATTCCTTTGTTGCTGTGTTTCTACAGAGAGAAAAGCAGAGACAGAGAGAGAGAACGGGAAAGAGAACGGGAGAGGGAACGGGAGAGAGAGCGGGAGAGGGAAAGAGAACGGGAACGGGAACGAGAAAAGGACAAGAAAAGAGATAGAGAAGAAGATGAAGAAGATGCCTACGAACGGCGGAAACTGGAAAGGAAACTACGGGAAAAGGAAGCAGCTTATCAAGAGGTATCTACAGGAGTTGCTGAAAGGTTCCTAATTCAAATGGAAGGAGGGATTGCAGAATATAATACCATTTCCCATGTTACCTGTTTTCCAGGATAATGTTCCTTTTCAATGGGAAACTCCACTTATGAATGAGGTCTAACATAAATATTAGATATCATTTACATTCAGACCTATATATTAGATACCATTAAATATTATTTTCCTTGAATGAATTTCTGCATACTTCCTGCATATGCTGTCAATATTCTTTTAATAATTTGTACGTTCTTCTGCTGGAATACAAAGTTGAGGCTGATATAATTATTTGATTTGAATTAAATACGGTTGATTTTGCTGTTTCCAAAATGAAAATATGGAACTATTCAATTCCTGGGTGAACGGTGAAATAATGGAAAAGTTGTGTGGTTTCAGCGTCTTAAAAACTGGGAAATCAGAGAACGGAAGAAAGCTAGAGAATATGAAAAAGAAGCTGAGAGAGAAGAAGAAAGAAGACGGGAAATGGTAAGGGATTTATTACATTACCAGGGTTCTTATTAGATATTAAAACACAGAATTTCTCTGCTGGGTATGAAAATATTATAGTGAATGTTTTATTTGTCTAAGGCAGTAATATCATAAATAAATTAGGAGTTTTTAAGTATACACGGTGTTGAAAGCTTTACTTGTGCATATATTTATTTAGGCTTTACGATATGAGCTTTGGAAAAGGCTCACAAATATCAGTCTATTCAAAATTGTGGACAATTTGAGGACCCTTAATACTTTAGGACAGGGGTGTCAAACTGTCGGCCCGCAGGCCGGATGCATCGTAGCAAAGCCGCGCCCACCCCATTGCCAGCAATGGCAAAAAAAAGTCGTGATACGTCGCGACACATCACGTGACGTTGCGAGTTTGATACCCCTGCTTTAGGACATCTAGAGTATTTCCCATTGCTTCATAGGAAACACACACATCTTCCCTGGTACACTTAAATTTCCAGGGAACAACTTTCTAGAGAACAAAAGAAATGTGGATCATTTTGGTTTGCACTTGAGTATTGCTTTAACCTATCCTTTCCCAACTTAATGCTCTCTAGATATGCTGGATAAGAATTTCCATTAACTGCAGCGAGGATAATCATTGCCTATAGTGGCAGGTTATAATCCAGCTATTGTCTTACACATATAAAGAATGCCAGGCTGAGGAAGGCAACTTTATCCCTTTGTCATCTTTTGCAGTGACTGCATATAATCTGATTACTCCCAAAAAGTTTTTTTTTATATGGTCGGTTTAAGATTGAAAATATTACCTAGCTCAAAGGTTCCAACCCCTGCTTCGTGGACCGGCACTAGTCTGCAGCATGCCAGCAACCGGGTTATGCAAACAAGCAAAGCCCCATCTGCAGGATGCAGGCAGCACGCAAAACCTCACCCCCTCTGGTTCGCGGTGCCCAAAGGTTTGGGGGCCGTTGACTTAGATAGCTTTTCTAAATAAGCGTGCCTAGCAATGCACTTTAAAATTTAAAAGCTCTCCTCTTAGCTGCACAGGTAATTAACAGCATAAATATATTTATCTGCATATCATTACCATGGTAATGTGCATTATCAAAATAAAGCAGATTGTTCAGTAGATTAATTTTTTGGCAAAACAGGAGAAAAAAGCAAACTGCAGAAAGGAGACTCACATGATTATTAAGGATTAAAATGAACAAGCCTTTGCTTAATCAAAATGGAGAAATAGAATTTAAGATTGCCAGATTGTAATTGCTCTTGTATTAATCAGTTTTGCTTTGTTATGGTTTCTCCCATAGTTTCGGAGAAATCTACCTAACTTCTTTAAAAAAAAAAAAGTGGAAGTTCTTCAGGAAATATAGCTAGCCATAGAAATATTTTTGTCTTGATCTTTGAAGATTAAGATTTGGATGGTTAAAGAAATATGGAAGTAAACATAGGTGTGCTCCTAGATATTTTATGTAGCAGCAAATGTAGATTACTTAGATGGTTTAAAGTACCTGCTTTTATATTCAATAACCTTTTAGATTCTCCCCCTCCCCAAATGGGCAAATTTTAAAAACGGGGTTCTAAAACTCAATGGTATGATGAAACCTTGATCTACCAGAATTTAATGCAAAGGACTTTTCCATACAGTAAATTTACATCACATACATAATGTTATTATCCAAATGTGTAAATCTCCACAATGCCCTACTTTCCAACTCAATAGCCTTTCCTCCATGATGGACTCTCCTACCTTTGAATTTGTCCCTCAAAAGGTGATTTCATTGTATATGCATCAATAACTAGAAATAATCAGGTACTAAGGAAATAATGTATTCACTTCTCATAGGCAAAAGAAGCTAAACGTTTGAAAGAATTTCTAGAAGATTATGATGATGACAGAGATGATCCCAAATATTATAGGTAAGTTCATGAGGACTATTATCCTCATTAATTTTTATTGATAAATCGAGGGACCGAATAGTGAACTGATTCTGAAATACTGTAGGTTTTGTTGTTCTTTTTGAAAATGGAGATATTATTTAATATTTAAATTTATAACATAATCTTTACATGCATTTGTTTCTCTTGATACTGTTCAACCTTTTAAAAAAGTATAATTGTTTAATTTGCTGTCAGTATAATCTTAACTGATTTTAGTGTAATCAATTGAAGCTGGAATTTTGGTTGTAATTGTTGCAGTTGTAAGTTAAGGCACCACGTGACAAAGTTTGATTTTATGAGTTTTTACAATGGTCCTAAAGTGAGTCACTGCGGTCATTAATAGTAATATGACTGCAGTGGGTGGGGCAATCATAACTTTGAGGATGTTTTTTAAATTCATTGTAATTTTAACTGGCCAGAAGCCGAGGATTACCTGTAAGAAGAAATAATTCCTTCAAAATTACAGGTAAAGGTAAATCTTGACTTATCATCATTCATTCAAAGACTCTTCAAAGTTATGATGGAGCTGAATAAATCGTGGTTGATTAGTCCTTGGAGTTCTGTACATTCTAGCACTCCTGGGGTCATGTGATTGTGATACGGGCACTTGGCCGCTAGCTCACACACAAAACCAGTTGCACACCCCCACAGTCATGTGATTGCCATTTGCCACCTTCCCTGCTGGCTTCCCAGAAAGTCAAGGGGATGCCTAAAGGGAAGGTTGCAAGTTATTGAGGTAAGTTTCCCCCAATTGTACAGTCTCCCCCAGCTCCTGCTACACTAGCCTCAAGCATCCCATACACCTCTGAGTCTCACTGCACCTCCCTTGTGCACCTTCCCTGGGCTTTGTTGCCCCACCCCTATGCATCCTATCTGAGCCTTGCCACCCTTACACATTCCCCGTACCCTCCCCGATCCTCGTTGCACCACCCTTGTGCACCCTAATGCACCTTTGCCAGATGTCCTTCATGCACCTCCTCATGCCTTCTCTCACCCAGTGGTAGCTACTTGCCTGCCTGCCAGCCTGCTTACAAGCCACATGACACTTGCAACCTCCTGCCGGCTTCCCCACTGAGTTGATGTGGGAAGCTGGCAGAAAGTTGCCTAATGGCTGTTGGATTCAGTTAATAACAAAAACCAATCACCTTGCTTTGTGATGGAAATTCCAGTCCCAACTGTTTCTTGTAGTCCTCAAGTTATGACCATTCATTTAGCAACCATTTGAAGTTACAGCAGTATTGAGCAAATGGAAATGGATTTATGTCTTTTTGGCACTGCACTCTGCTAGTCCTGCCACCCTGCAATCACTGCTCCAGCTGCCACTTGCCACTCCCAGTAAACCTTCACAGTCACGTTTCTGTCACTGCTGCTATGGTGCACCCGGACTAGCCCTTTGCTAGGTAGCAGCTGGCCATGCCAGGTCTTCTTCCCGAGGATCCATTTGTCCCTTGTCTTTTTGAAAGGCTTCTGCCTCAGCCGCAGCAGGAAGAAGAGAGTGAAAGTCAGCTAAAGGCAAGAGCACAGGGTGGTGAGGATGGCAGGGCCAGGGATCGTAGGGCAGCAACAGAAATTCCAATCCCAGTTGTCGTCATAACTCGAGCACTACCTGTAGAGATGAAAGATGAAAATTCGTAATGAAAGATTTGGCATCGTTGTCTTCATAGCTATATATTGCCTTCAAAACCAGAGATGGTTAAATAACTTTTGCTCTCCCCCCCCAAAGTTCCACTTTGGAAGTTTTCTGCTTCGGCACTATATGCCAGTCATCAGATTCATATTTTGCACTAAGCCAACATTTGACTACATCATGTGGAATAAAATACAATTGACTGCTACGCTGCCATAAACCATATAAACCAGGGCACAGAATGCTTGAAGAAGTAGACTTTTGGGCCTGATCAAACAGAGCACTCTTAATTCAGATTCTGAATAGAGGAGTTCGATTTAGTCATCTTTTGACAAATATTAATGGAGGCGTTTGGGATTGCACGAATTTGTAAATCAAAGTGAATGTGTGCTGTATGTTTCAGGGGAAGTGCTCTGCAGAAGCGATTGCGAGACAGGGAAAAGGAAATGGAAGCGGATGAACGGGATCGAAAGAGAGAAAAGGAAGAATTAGAAGAAATTAGACAACGTCTTCTGGCAGAAGGACATCCAGACCCCGATGCAGAGTTACAAAGGGTAAGAAATTTTTTTGAATTAATAATACACATTGGATTCCGTATATTTGTAAACAATAGTATGTCAGTACACTGCATATATACCTCCTGCTTGGTGGGATGCAGAAAATGGTATGTTGGTTTTCAAAGTGGTCTATAGATTAGACCAGTGGTGGCAAACCTATGGCACGGGTGCCAGAGGCGGCACTCAGAGCCCTCTCTGTGGGCATGCGCACCGTCGCCCCAGTCCTAGGCCTTCAGCTGGGTTTTATACAACCTTTTCGCTTTAGGCCTCTGCTGCCGTGTGCAAAAAAAAAAAAAAAGGTTCAGTCAGCAATTTCAACTTCTCGCGGGGGAAAAAAAAGATCTTGCAAAGTTGGAATTGATTGATTGAACTTTTTAGTCCCACCCAGTCTGCCGTTACCACCACAGCCACGCCCAGCCATTGGGCCACGGCCAGCCATTGGGCCACGGCCAGCCATTGGGCCACACCCACCCGGCACTCGACGATGCATAAGTGGGTTTTGGGTTGCAGTTTGGGCATTCAGTCTCTAAAAGGTTCGCCATCACTGGATTAGACCTTTCAAGTTCACCCTCCTCCCCATCCCCTCAGCAGAGCAGAGAGATTGGAGGGGAAGGGATTTCAAGAGAGTAAACTGTTTGCGCTTGTACACATCAATAGCCATGCGATTGCACTGGCTACAGGAAAGGGCGAGACAAAGGAGAGATTGTCTATAGAAATTGCTTGTTTTTCTCTCCCCTTCCCCTCCCTCAGGCTGCCAGCAAGATCATACTGCTTTTGATGTGCACAAGACACTAAGCAGGCTCCGGAGCGTTCTAAAGGGGAAATGTTAGGAGGCAAACTTCCATCCCCCTTCCCCCAATCCGGTCGGAACCTATCCTGCCATTCCCCCACCATCCAGTCTTAACTGTCAATACCTATCCTTCCATTCCCCCCCCCCCACCGTCACAACTGATGAAGCTTCTTGGACGAGAAACGAAATGTTTTGTTCTTCTTCCTGAAGGAAAAAAACAGTCCAGTTGCCTTTTGAAAAAGCACCTCTGAGGCAACTGTGACCTGGATGACTGAGAATCTCCGCAGACAGTTAGGAGGCAAACAAAAGCTGAAGGCGTGAAACCGAGTAGTCTCTTTCCACCCATGTCGTTTCCCACTTAGCGACTTCTTAGCAGTAGAGTTGCCAGTGCCAGTTAAGATGGTTAAAGTGAGGACTACCTGTCCCAGCAATTTTGAAACCTTTCTGAACCTATTCTCTATATACAGTATTTCTGCCAAGTCTGCGTATCTTTCCTGGGGGGGGGGGGGGGGGAAAGGCGCAGTCTTATCCTTTTCATTTAATTGTTGTAAGTTACTATTTTTCAAGGACTTCATGATATGAGCACCTCTACTCAGCACCAGAGTTTCCTTTTGCTGACCGAATAGAACTTTTCCATCGTGGTCGTGCTTTATATGGTTAATCTGACTTTGATGTTGTCTGTGCAGTTCATGTGTAGCTCTGTGCTTGGAGTTGTCTTTTACAATGTTGAAGGAGATATTTGCTGTTAATATTGGAACTGATAGAAGAGAATATTTGTAGCCCAGGGTTGAGACGAGGGGTCCTTGGTCCTCTCTAAGCTTGGTTGTTTTCTTGCAGATGTTTCATCACCCAAACTAGGTAATACCATCAGTGCATATTGAATATTGTGTAATGTAGTGATGGTAGTATTACAGTGTCCCTCTCTCGGGGGAGATATGTGGTTTAGAGATAAGAAATAAAAAACAAAACAAAACATTGTAATAGTGTAATATTGAGATTTCTTATCATAACTTTATTAGCTTGATTTCTGTTTCAGTTCACACACTGAGGCTTTACATCAATCCAATCCTTGATTTTATTTCTAGCTTTAGCCTTTCAATCTCCAGTAATTAATTTGATGTCCTTTTTTGATGGAGAAGTTGCCTTAGCAAAGGACTTGCAAGTATAGTCTGTGTCTTCTGCCTCTGTGGGGGGAGCGTACACTTGAATCACCACTGTACTGATTACCTGCCTTGGTTTGAGATAATTTTCTTGGAAGGGGGGCAATGAGCACTGACTTTCAAGCTTTTGTTAATAATAATAGTGGCTACTCAACCCCTCTAAAATGTATCCCAATAGGGGAGACCGAGAAAGAATAGAGAAACATGGTTCTGATGTTAAAGGATCAGCTTTTCCATTATAACTGGTAAAGGAAAAGGCCCTTTCGGCAGTCTTCCTATTGCTTTTTTAACCACTCTCTTCCATTTATATTCCATAGATGGAACAAGAAGCTGAAAGACGTCGGCAGCCACAGACCAAACAGGAACCAGAATCTGAGGAAGAGGAGGAGGAGAAGCAAGAAAAGGAGGAAAAGCGGGAAGAACCCGAAGAAGAGGAGGAGGAGCCAGAGCAAAAGCCCTGCCTTAAACCAACACTGCGGCCTATCAGTTCGGCTCCATCTGTTTCGTCGGCAAGCGGCAACGCAACTCCCAATACTCCTGGGGATGAATCTCCCTGTGGCATCATCATCCCACATGAAAACTCTCCTGATCAGCAGCAACCAGAGGAATACAGGCCTAAAATAGGACTGAGCCTCAAATTGGGTAAGATTTTTGTTTTTGCAGCTTGGCATCCTCCGAAAAATGGGGAAAAAACAGAAAAATATAAAGCTTCTCTTAAGTGTTGCCATGACTCCTGCTTCCCCCTCTCCTTCATAAAAAAAATTATTCATGCCCTTTTGCTTTTCATTATGCCATCTTTACCTTGATTCTGACAAAATCCTGAGAGGAATTTATAATTACATGAGAGAGAAATATTTTCTTTTATATTATTATATAGGTGCCTGCAATAGTCCCAACCAGCCTAATGCTGTGAAAAGAAAAAAACTCACCGTTGACAGTGTGTTCAATAAATTTGAAGATGAAGACAGTGATGACATGCCCCGAAAAAGAAAACTGGTACCTCTAGATTATGGCGATGAAGACAAAGGTTCCTCCAAAGGCAACGTGAACACTGAAGAGAAGCGCAAACACATTAAGAGTTTAATTGAGAAAATTCCTACAGCCAAACCAGAGCTATTTGCTTATCCTCTTGACTGGTCTATTGTGGATTCAGTGAGTATTTTGACCAGCATCCCCCTCCCCATTAATATAATAATCAAAATGCTCATTGCAACAGTTTGCCATGTCTCATTTGGGCCGTCTCCAGGCAAATATCTGATCACCCCAAGGGAAGGCCATACTCTGTTTCCAGGGTACAGGATATAAAATGAGGGGTCCTTGGTGCTCTCTGAGCTTGACTGTTTTCTTGCAGACATTTCATTATGTGATGTTACCTAGTGCAGGGCTTTTCAACCTTTTCACCCATTGTACCACTTTTAGGATATAGCAACATCCGAGTGCCACCAGTCGCCTAGCAAGGTGTTAAAAACTTGATGACCAAAAAAAAAAAAAAGGAATAAAGCGATAAAGTACAGGTAGCCCTTGACTTACAACAGTTCGCTTAGTGACTGTTCGAAGTTACAATGGCACTGAAAAAAGTGCCCCTCAAGCCACAGCCGAGCAAGACACCTGCCTGCCCACCCGGCGGCGCTCTTTCTCCTGTCCGAGGTTTTCATTGTTGTGAGCATTTCTGTTGAGGATTGGCAACAGGAGTGGGGTGGGGGGTGTTTGGTTTTTATTCCCCCCGTCTACTGGGTGGTTGCAGCAGGTTTTGGTCACTTCACAAGACCCTGGGACACTGTGACCGTCATAAATATGAATCAGTTGCCAAGCATCTGAATGTAAATCCCAAGACCCTGGAGATGCTGCAACATTCCAGCTGATCGGCACTTCTTCTGGGCTCAGCAGAAGCGCCAGGATCTGTGCCGAGCTCTAGCTGGAGCCTGGCGCTGATCCTGGCGCTTCCGCTGAGCCCTGGTAGCCCTGCAGCTCCAGCCATCTCTCGCTCAGGCTTGTGTGGTGCTGCCACGGGTTCAGCTCATTCCCCTCCCCTGCTACCACTTTTCTAGGATGGTCGTGTACCATCTGCCAGGTGCCAATGTACCACAGGTGGTACCCGTACCACTGGTTGAAAAGCCCTGACCTAGTGCACATGATGTTACCTAGAAATGATAATCATAATAAATATAATCTTAAGGATCTTGATCTGTTTCACCAAGATAAGTAAATCAGGGTTTCACAATATACAAACACGGAAGCAGTGTCAACATTTGGATACCTCCTGGTGACTTGATATAGTTGTGTGTGAGTCTGTTAAATATGGGGGGGGGGGTGTTTCTATGTTAGTCACTGACTCATTTTTTTATTGTAGTGGTACATAATATGCTTAATGAATGACATTTAAAAGTAGAACAATGTAAAAAAAAAGAAAAATACGAAGTGGCTTGAAGATAGACATAAACAAAAAAAATCCATCCAACAGGGACTCCATCCTCCTTCTTTCCCAAAGCCTGGGAGAATAGTCAGGTTTTAAGTGATTTCCTGAACATTCTCAGAGTGAAGGCCATTCAGAACTCAGGGGGACCATTCCAGAGGGCCGACACCTTGACAGAAAAAAAAATACATTTTAATTTAAAGTTTAAATTAAAGATTGCATTCCTATTTGAAGACCTTACTCCATTTAAAAGTTCTATTAGTGTATGTATGACTCTCAGAAGAATAAAAGTAACTCATAGTGGTATAGAAAAATATATTTTAAAAAACCTGTGTTTATTCTAGACATTAATGGAAAGGCGAATTAGACCATGGATTAACAAGAAAATAATAGAATATATTGGTGAAGAAGAAGCTACGTTAGTTGATTTTGTTTGCTCAAAGGTAAGCTTATTTTTCTAGACATGTAAAGTTGTGTGT